GTTGTTCTCGACGGGACAGAGATTTGGTGCGAAAAAGTGTGGCAGTCGGATGCGCAACATGCATTGTGGTCGCAGTACAAGCAGAGATACACAGCGAAGATACTCATCGGCATCATCCCCGCGGGTTCCATCTGCTACGTGTCCGATGCGTATGTTGGACGAACGAGTGACGTCGAGTTGGTTAGACAGTGTGGGATTGTGGAGGAGTTGACTGAGCTGGGTTTCGGGGGCAAGGGCATGCACGTAATGGCTGCGAGAGGATTTAACGCGATGGCACCACTCCTGATCGACATTGGAATGCACTACGTTGCGCCGCCGAGCAAGCGAAAGGGTGAACATCAGTTCAACGAGGAGGATGCCAGCGTTACTCGGGAGGTAGCCAACCTCCGTATTGACGTAGAACGAGCGATAGGAGCCATGAAACAGTGGCGTATTCTTGAGACGAAGTTCGATTCCCAGCAGATGGACAACATAGGAGAGATAGCTCTGGTTTGCGCTGCCATGGTTAACCTCACTCGCAAGCCCTTTGCGTCTGCGAAGTGACCACGAGAAGTGATATTATATATATTTTTTATCCTGGGAGGTCGTTGTGGTTTTTGTCTGCGCGCGAGCGCTCCCCATCATATCAGCTGTTTAGGTGAAAGGGGGCAGTCATGCGGACGAGCTCAACGTTCCTTAACCATTTGTACCTGTCCTTGACTTTATTGGGCAAACAACAAGCCGTGCACCAACCCTGTCCGCTGTTTTTTTTCTTTTGGGTTAGGTCTGATGGCCCTGTCGCGGACTCTCATTTGGGGCGGTGCCAAGGTCGACTATTGATGATTTTCTTCTTCCGCAAATGTGGTCTCTGATGCAATTGGTGTGGGGGGCATCGTGCTGCACAGAAAGGGCGCGACCCACGCTGCAAGTAGCGGTGTACTTCGACGTATATTTGTTCGCAAGCACCTGCTTAAAATGAGCGAGACTCGCTTGGAAGGGTACCATGTATCTTGGGTATTTTTTTCAAAATCAGACTCACTCGACGCGACACGGGTAAAAAATAAAAAACGTCGGTACCGTGCGTCTTCAAGTAGATTCACGCCTCAAGCGGGGTCTCAGTACGTCGACTGCTAAGCTAGTACTCCCTCCTGCTCCCGGGACCCTTTCCCCGTCAATAAACCTGGACAGCATGTCCCACTGTGCGTGGCTCATACTTTCGCCACCATCAAAGTCCTCGCGGGCGCTCGCCCATTTGCCATGATCGGGGTGCGAGCTAAACTCAGTTCTGCGATCCATTGCCACTACTCCACGCGTGCTCGGCACGTCGTCACCACCCCCCCCGAACGGGACTCTCTTGGGATCTCTCAGCGTTCGTAACTCTCCCACAACTTCCCTGACCGTCGCCCCGTTGAAGATGTCGAATTCAGTATTTCGTCCCCCCCCACAGTGTCTGAGGATCCACTGGCAAGCGACACTCGTAGGCGAATCCGGGTCCCACGTCTCTAATTCGTGCTCTGTCAGCTGCAAAAGGCGCACTAGTTGCAGGAGCTGGCAAACGTGGTGGCAACCCCCCCCCGCTCCCGACTGGCACTGGCACCATGCCGCTTCAACACAAGTGGCGACCAGTCTCCGTCGAATGTCATCGTCGCTCCTTCCGTCACTAGAGTTGCTGTCACCCTCGTCGACGTCGGGGTGTTGGGCAACAACATCCACCCTCTCCACACGCACATCAGCTTGGACGAGATATTCCTTGTCTCTCATGGATCCGCGCGAGCTGAAATCACACACGGGCATGATGCGAACAGTTGGAAAAACGGGCGGTACCCGCAACATTGTACTGTCGATATTTGGAAGTGATGGTTGCATGAATACACCTGACTTTGGAACCTAAAAGGCAAACGTCGTGTGCATTTGCCACATCCCTTGCCACTACAAGGACCTGCTTTGTTTTTTCGGTCTAAGTAACGCGAACAGATCGGCTCACGAGCACGCCGCGCTTGTGGATTACTGAAACGGCATCGCGGCGCATGGGAATGACTTCATAGGGCGGGATTTTATTCGCGGACGAAATGTAGGTCTGGGAAAACACCGCGGAAATAACTTGACACGTTCTTTCGAGTCTGGCTACACAAACAATAAACAAAGAGAACGAAAATACAAGTTGCCCTGCTAGTTCTTATTGTTGTCTTCACACTAAAACGGTAGTAGAAAAGAAAAGTTCGACGAAGAAAACAAAACAAAATAATTACACTCACTTTAAGCGCAGGTGCAACGTCCCGCCGTTTTCGCCGCATGGGATCCCGGACAACCAACCCAGAGCCCCGAGATCCAACACACGTTCCATCCCTCGGTACAGCACGCGCCCCGTATCTCCGATGAGCGAACCGCGGGCCCGCAGCCACGCAATAATGATCGTGTCTCCGGCGAGCTCAGGGAGTTGCGCGCGAAGAGGTTCCCAATCCAGCCATCCATCGGAGGGCTGGCCAAGGCCGCCAGCAGCGGCGTCCTGCTGCGGCATGCGAAACACGAGCGAGCTTCCCACCAACCCGCTCTGCTCGACAACCTGTACGACCCCTTTCGCTACGCTGAGGAGTTTAGGCTTCAGGAACGAAGTAGTTCCAGCCTGCTCCAAACACCTGAACGGCTGCTCGGAAGATGTCAGAGAGACGGGCGGGCAAACGAGACAGCGCCGAACGAGCGAGATATGCGCTCCATTATATGGTGGTACTTGTGGGCAGGATCTACTCACTTCCGGACAACTGGGACTTTGCACAGCCGCAGGCAAGAAGTAGGGATGTCCAACGAATTCCGAACGCAAACCTACGCACCAAAAAACGCGGTCATCGACGTTCTGAAATAACGTTATCGATGCGCTGAAGTGCTCTCACCCCCAAGAATTCACGCAGCTGGGCTACGGTCATGCTGCCAAGTTGGGCATCTGTAGGCAGCCGCGAAAAACCCGTGCGCCCGAAGTTGTTCGTTTCTCCGGATGTCAGTGTCCGCCGTCCTCGTTTAGGGGGGGCTCGCGGGGCGTGCGACGGCAGGGAGTCCAGCTGTTCTGGGAAGTCAGACTCCCACGGACGCAATGTGCACGGGCAGATTTTCCCACAGGCTACTTTCACGGCGACTTCAGGGTTGGCGATGATCCCTGCGTATCGACACGATACAGGAGGGGAGAGAGTAAACAAGATGCACACTTTACAAGATCGGTAGACAGCAGTGGATGCCTGAGCGGAGTTGCTGTCGTCCTGTTTCCAATACCTATGGGTGTGCCATCAAATGGCACGAACGATACGAGAGGAAGAGGTCTTGTATGCACCAATACACAATACACATGGGTGTTTTGGATACAATAAACTATCCCAATGCATTCAAAGGTGTTGATTGTTGTGAGTCTTAACGCTGGTCCAAAGTAGGCGGGCGCCTTCCGATGTCATAAACCAACGACCGCAACCCGAGGGGGCACACGTACGCTGCTTGAAATCAACTACTTGTGACAAAATAATCGATCAACCCAGGAGAGAGAGGTAGACGTCGCATACAGGAGGAGGTAACGGAAGCGAGAATTGAATGATTTTGGACCAACCCACACCATGGTAGGTTACGTACATTTGCACATCCATACCAGTACTGCAGACAGTAGAGATATCATCTACAGTAGAGATACATTTACAGCGCGTCGTTGCACGACTACGAGGTCGCTATCTACCCGGACGGTGACATACCTGTGTTGGAAGTCACGCGACTTGTCGGAGCGCAACCGGACAGGTGTCGTTGAACTCCGACCTCAGGACAGAACACGACAGGGTGAAGCGTCATGTCTCGAGAGCGGTCTAGCGACGCCGTCACCTCAGCTTCGGTCCAGGTCGTTGACCCAACCAGATCTTCCGTCACATCCGCAAGCGTGGGGAACTGCCCACACTTCTTTCGCAGGCAGAAATCCGTGGCTTTTGCCTTTCCAATCCCGGGAAACTTGCTGTAGTCGTTGCCTGAGACAGATGCCCACAGCTGCAGGCGGGCCATCACCTCAACTCGACCACCACACTGCATCTCCCGACCCGCCTTGGTCGACACCGTGCAACAACCTTAGGGACTCATGCCCATGCGTCGTGCCAGCACGGAGGGCATGCATCTGCGGGCGCGTGATACCCTCATGCGTAAAGATGTTACCGAACAGTCGCCCTTCTTCCGACACGACCTCCCAGAGCAGGGAACGAACGCCGATGACCATGAGGTCGCTGTCATTTCCACGTACCAGGACACGTTTCCCCATGCATGTATACATCTCCTCCAAGACACGCAGCTGCGGGTCGGCCTCATAGGGCGCGGTTATGCACTCGCATCGTAACGAACGAGAGACAAAACGTGAGACCCTGGCGACGATGTGACTCGTAAACGCTACCGCGTTCACAGCTGCTTTCTGAAGACCTGGATGCTGAAGCGGCACGTTGGACTCCCGTAGACGCAAGCACTGCTGCCGTGTCCGCTCTCTCTCGCTAGACCTCGATCGCGTGGTTGCCCCTTTCCCGGGTGGAGGAGCCCCGTCGAAAACCACGGTGATCCCCCACCCTGCCGAAGCAAGCTTGTTCAGGCTTGTGGCCATCGACATCGCGAGGGGGACGACGTTGTCGTCCAGCACAAGAGGAACTGCCACACCCCCGATACCAGCAGCTTTGTGCAACGCAAAATGACCGTCGACGACCAGGTGCTTCTGTCTCGTGCCATCTTCGTCGTCGAGAGGTACCCGCTTAGAAGCTACCTCCTTCAGGTATGGCGACAACCCGTTCACTCCCATGGCACTCCGTTGGAGGTAAGGATGTGCTATCACGCAGCCCAGCGGTGCTCCTGCTGCGTGGCTGCGTGGAGGTAGGTGTCAGTCCTTTTTTTTTAATCGTTCGGTGTTGTTGCCGTTTGGCAGTCTGTTGGTTCTTTTTGGAACGACCATACATCGCCCTTGCGGGATGTGACTGCAGCGTAATCTTACGATTGGACGCGTGGCCAATGGGCAAGATGTCTTTGGAACTTCGCCAGACATCCACGCAGGCTAACCCGCATGGGTTGTATCCCAGATCCTCGCCTCCCTGGGTGGGCAGTAGAGAGTTGACTCGCAGTTGACTCGTGCACGGGGTGTATGACGTACCGGTCTATTCGCTTGTGCAGCTAGAACCAACGCGCGCGTTTCGTTCGTGTGTCAGCTTCCCCCCCCCCTCGTGGTTTTGTGGCAAGGTGGTAGGCACGAAAAACAGATGTATGCAAGTGCTTGGCGTCCCAAGGGTTTATGCTGGATACACAGCTGAATGAAGCCAACGAAATGAGGTGTCATTGTCTTTCATCACCTTGGTTACAACGGACATTTCACGAATACGAGCAAGGAACCAACACACCAACACAAGACAAGAGCAACGTGTTGACTTCGTGTGTGCCCCCGAGGTCTGGATTTCAAAGCCTACAGGAAACTACCTACTTTTTCGCGCTTTCCATGGCGTCCATCCGGGCGCTAGAAACATGGGAACGCATACGATCCCGATTTTCTTATTATTTTTGGGGCGTGTCGTGGTTCTTGCGGGCTATTCGTCCATTATTGAGCTATTTGTAAGACCGAGCGACCTCAAACTGTACAAAAAAAAAAAAAAAAATGTTCAAAAAAACGGGAGCTCCTTGCGCGGATAGGGAAAAAAAAAATAACCGCGTCAACGCTAATCCCAAAGCGCTAATATTTTTCTACGTTCATGTTCCCGCATGGGAAAATACAGCAACATGCCACCACACTGCGAACGGAAATACCCCACAACTAGATAGAATCGTGCTGGACGTTTCGAAGAAAACACACACTACCAAGATGCGATATGTGACGCGAACGTCACTGCTGTTCCGACAAAAAGCCTAGAAGAGGTTGTGCATCATCCAGCTGGAGTTTTGGGGTATGAAACTCGCCGCTGATGCCGTGGGTGGTAGGCGGGGTGCTGCATGAAAGCCGGGGGGCACGCCGTAGTATGCGTGGGCAGGCGCTTGCATGGGTTGAGCGGCAGCCGGTGGGACGGCCTGGTGAGCGGCAGCCGGTGGGACGGCCTGCTGGTTCATGTCGGTCGCTGCCAGTGTCTGCTTCCTGTGTATTGTGTGGGCAATCACGCGTCAATCGACCGCAAAGGAAAGGGAACAACATGTGTTACAGGGGGGTAACCATCCGTTCTCTTGCGAACGGAATATTGTCCACCCAAGACTCGCAGAACATCGACACCGGAATCTCAACCAAACAAAACCATCTTCTACGCACTTCGGGCGGCCCCGCTTCTGTTTCTTGGGAGGAGAGGGCGTCTCGGCGTCGCTCGAGGAAGACGACGGGTCGGTGGAAGACGGTGACGGTGATGGGACCTTTCTGTGCTTCTTGCTCCTCGACGACTTCGACGGCGCCTTCTTGGAGCGCCTGTGTATGATTCCCGGTCGGGACGAAAAAACAAAGTTAAGAACAGAGGCGGTGACTGCAGTAACCGGCACTTCACTCAAACCGAGGACATGAACCAAACATGTACACATCTTGTGCTCGACGGAGCTTCTCTGACCGACCCCGCTGTCCGAGGTAGCTAACTGGTTCGGAGACAACTTACCGGATGGGTGTCGGGTCCGGGGGCGTCGCAGCCGGTTGTGAGCCGGAAACAGTCCGAACGATGTACTGGGCCATGGCCATCAGTCGAGGTTCGATCAATCCATACACTTTTGCGGCAACGTCGTCGACCAGCTTTGCATGTTGCGTACCGTCCAGCGTCACCTGTGCCCGAATGAGATCGGGGTGGGGTGGGTGTGGAGGGGCGTCGTGCAGGAGTGAGGGGAATGTCGGCATCAAATGGGTGCCAACGCGAGTACACATGATAAACCTAAACCACACACACGCCGAACATTCGCAGTGGATTGACGGCACCAATGATCAACACAGGCAAGTACTAAAAATACAGACGCGTCGAACCTTTGAAGGGGTGCTCCCATTCTCTTTGTCTGCCGCTCCAGCGGTGGCCTTTTTGCCCTTGGCGGGGGTCTTCTTGCCCGCCGTACCCGTCGCGGCACCTGCAGCCTGCTCCAGCCCCTCCTTCAGCTTCGTCGTCGCAGAGGTCAGGCTCTGAATGTTGATGTAGTAGGAGATAAAAAGGAAAAAAACATTTTGTTAGGGTGGCATTCCAAACCGGACGGGGGCAATCAGTTCGTTTACCGGACGGCCCGTTATGGACCACATATATCCCCTGACAATACAAAACGACACAGAAAAAAAGAACACAAGGAAAGGATCAAGCAGCGAAGCCGCTCGCCCGCCACGTCATCACTCCAGGAACCAAACGTTGAAGCATCCTGCATACACACCTTCGTGGCTGCCTGGAGTTCGGGAGCCAGGGAGGATTTCAGGATACCCAACACGCACGCGCCGTTGGCGGTGACGACCTTGTCCAATGCCTTCTTGGTGGGGTGCACGTCGGGTTTCTTCTTCTCCACCTTCTTCAAGACAGCCTCCTCGAAGAGACGATCCTCAACCGCCTTGGACAAAATCTCCTTGAGAATGTCCTTATGACCTTGAGAATATTTTAAGGATTGTTTGGCAGGGTAGTATGTTTGGCGCATGGTACTGGAAGTGTCGCGGAGCTCACTCAAGGAGCAAGCAGGTTTTTGCATCACTCGGTTTCCCGGTATTTTCCGGTTTCTCTCCCCTAACTCCGAGGCATGTCACTTCATTTGATTGGAGAGGACTGAACTTACGGACTCACGGTAGCATACCTTCGGTATTGCAAGTGTCCATAGAACACAACCAGAACTCGCGAAGGGAGTTTGTATACATCACACAGCACCCGGACAACTAAGGCTAATGTAACTTGCCTTTTGAGTTGTAGTACTCATCCGCGAACTCGCGGATCGAGACCTTGACGGTCTTCGCCAGGTCGCTCTTCGCGTAGCCGTCCAGACCCTCCTGGGGGAGCTCGATATCTTCTGCCTTCGAGGACCGCCTATTCGAACGCCGTAGTCCTGACAAAATAGAGACGGCAGATTAATCATCTTTAACACCAGGTACCCAACTCTGTCGCGAGCGAGATAAAACCAAGGTGCTGGCGACACACCTTGCAGGCAGGTTTTGACGTACGAAACACCCGCGAAAACGGGTACCGATTACGCAGTCATGTTAAGGCGACCTACAGCAGTAGTGAAACGGTAAACACAACCTACACAGCATACGTCGTTTTGTGGCCCGCAACGTCTCCTGCACGTATATTGCTTCTCGGCGCCTGTGCCCCCAGCATAAAATCGCCAACTTCAAGGCAACATACGAGCATCACCTGACGTTCCGTCTTGTCCAGCTGTACCCCCGGTGTTGGACTTTCCCGGCGGTGCGGGTGAAAGCGGCGTTCCGGCACCTCCTACGATCGAGATCGAAGGCAAAAGGTCGAGGGAGGCGGGGTACGTTAAATACGACATTGGGATCCGAAAAAAAAAAGAAGTTATGTCTCGAACGGGTGGTATTTCTGTGTTCGTATTTGTATTTTTAATATGAACAGTAAATACACACGCAGAAATACTACCCGTTCGAGACATAAACAAGTCGAACAGGATGTGTTGAGTCTTAACAGTGATTTTTATAAAAAAAAACCCGTCGCATTCCAGGTCCGCGTTGTGCCCTGTGTAGAACACATCTACCCGACCTGATCGCAAACTCCAGCGGGGAAAACGCCACATCCCTTATTATATCCTAGTATACAGCAGTACATTGAGCATCTTTCTATGCGGCATTCCAGTGCATCTCGGTTCGCACACATGCTCAGCTCAAACATCTTGCACCAGAACAGCTTCACACCCCAGCTTGCCTGCACCCTCCGGTGTTTCCAAGAGAATATGCAAATGTGCGATAGTTCGCACAAAAATATGAAGTCTGCGTTTTATCTGGATATCCACGGCCCGAAATTCAAATTCCAGCTTTCAAAGGTGAAGCACACATGTGAGCATCACCTGGCGTGTCTGCATGTCCAGCTTGAACCCCGGATGAGGGAGTCTTGGCGTCTTCTCCTGCAATCAAGGCCGAAGGCAAAGCGTAGAGGGCTCAGATAGAACAACAACTTTGTTTGCTGATTTGAGGGTTGACACACCTCCAAAAAAAACGTTTTTCCCCACCGCAGTCTGCGTTCCTCTCCGACGTACAAGGTGTATCTGAGTTCAAATTCCAGCGTCGGTGTAAAGCCCTAGATCCGCTTCTCTCCTAGTCTCTTGCACCAGCATAGCATGAAACTCCTGCTTGCCTGCACCCCTCCGGTGCTTCCGACACTACAAGTACGTAGTTCCCATTGAAACAGCAGTGAGTTGCTCTTTCTAACTTGACACGTCCGGAAATTCAAACTTCAGTTTTGAGGGAGCAAAGGGTTAGCATCGAAAGCACTACTGCTGCAACACTGACCGGGGCCAGGAGGCGATTTGCGGGAGCTGGCATAAACTCCGCCGTCTAAGCGAGGATCACATGGTGTGGAGATTGCCGCGGAGGAAGCGGTAGTGGAAGTTGCTGTGTGCGGATCCGCTTGTGGCGTGCGGTTCTTCCCCTTTCCTTTGCTTGCTTCTCCGCCGTTGGCCCCACCTGTCCGATAGGGACGAGACGGAAACATCGACATGTGGTTCGGAAAGAAGACCATACCACAACGAACATGTGCGCATCTACATTTCATGCCTTGCTACCTGAACGAACTCGTTCCCGACAGCTCTACTGATAGGCACAGCAGACGGCGGTCATCCTCCGCGCTGTTGCTTTGCATGTCCCCCCGCACCCACATGCTGCATGAAATTTTGAAAATTTTTGAAAATGGACCTAACGGCTCCACTCGACACAGCCACCTACACACCTACATGTACACAGCCCCCCCTCAGTAGATTCAAAGAGAACGTGCTCGACACACAAACCTGCTTGCTCGGGACGGCAGGACGTGCAGGCGTGGCCCTCGTTGACCACTTGCATGCATACCAGGTGGCAAGGAGCCTCGCATGAATGGCATCGGCCGCTCAAGGCGACATGTCCTCCTTGGTTGCATCGACCGCCAGCGGCGCACTGCGACGTGTTCAGGATCGCCTGACCCGCGGCTGAAGCCCGAGCTGCGGACACCAACCCACCAGAAGGGGGCTCACCGACGGACTGCTGTACCCCCGTGCCCGCGGGCACCGCTCCTGACCCACGCCTAATGCAACCGTTGCGGCCGCAGTAGGCGTGATCCCAGTCACGGCACGAGGAGTGCGTGTAGTGGGTGTACATTCCTGGACACATCGTCATTTCTACCAAGGGGGCCTGCAGGTTCTTGCAGCCACCTTCCACATGGCACGGTTTCCCTGATGAAACGGGGATCATCCTGTCCACTGTTGTGTCGCCGTGAGAGGATGTGCCCACTGCTGTGGGAGGTTTTGGGTGTGTGCCCTCGCTCGTAGCGCGGCTGCTGCTGCTGTAGAGTGTGTATTCTTAAAAAAAATGCGGATTAACTAAATTTATTTGTTTTGTACCACCACCCCCCCTCCGCCCAGAGCTTTTTTCTTGGTGCGGGGGGTCCTGTTGCAAGTGGTCTATAGCGGTTGTCTGATTTCTGAGAAAACGTCAAACCTCCAGGACCGGGATGTGAGATCGTTGCGGACGTCCACAGAATTGCTCGCTGGTGCATCCCACCACCGGTCATCTCGGTTGCATATATATAGCAGGTCGGTCGCAATGCGAACAGCGGAGGAGGTGCAAGTCGATGCACCTGAACAGAGCATATTAAGTTTTGGCGAGTTTCGGCTTTGTCGTGATAATGCTCTCACCCGAAGGGGCGCGGTCTCTACTTGTGGTTGCAAAGTTCTCTGGTAAATCGAGCCCCACTCATTGGCACCTCATGGAGGCGAGAACGTCAAGAGCTGCTAAAATAAACGCCTAGAGAGGAACGAGAATTCTTCTTGCACTTTCTTATTTTGTTAAACCTGATAGCAGCGTACGTTAACAAGTGCCATTTCCTCTACAGGGGGTTCAAAATCTTTCGGACCTCAAGAGGTCCTTGATTTGAAACCTGTGGAGTGATGACTTTCGATAGCTTGTCATATATTCTTTAGATGGAATCATACATATGTGCACTGGAGGGTTGAGAGGGCTTCAAAGCCCTCTTAGGGAATTCAAAAAACAAGCGGTAGAAGTACTGTTACCGCCCATTTTCCCCCCCACGTCTTGGGGGCGACTCTGACGCGCTCATTTGGCGCTGTAAAGCCCAATNCACGCCTATAGAGGAACGAGAATTCTTCTTGCACTTTCTTATTTTGTTAAACCTGATAGCTAGCGTACGTTAACAAGTGCCCTTTCCTCTACAGGGGGTTCAAAATCTTTCGGACCTCAAGAGGTCCTTGATTTGAAACCTGTGGAGTGATGACTTTCGATAGCTTGTCATATATTCTTTAGATGGAATCACACATATGTGCACTGGAGGGTTGAGAGGGCTTCAAAGCCCTCTTAGAGGGAATTCAAAAAACAAGCGGTACAAGTACTGTTACCGCCCATTTTCCCCCCCACGTCTTGGGGGCGACTCTGACACGCTCATTTGGCGCTGTACAGCCCAATTTTCTCCACAAAAAAACAATTTGCTTGTTGCGATTCTTCACTCACTCGGACGTTCTCTGCGAGCACGACAAAAAACACATTGGAACGACTTTAATGCAGCGGGGCTCGAGAACAAGCGGTTCAAGTACTGTTGCCGCCCAATTCTGCCCAAGCCGTGGGCGATTTGGACGCCAGGTGTACACAAAACCATTACTCCCTTACCAATACGGAACGTCATGACGTTGAGATATAACGATNTCAAGTCGTGGGCGATTTGGACGCCAGGTGTACACAAAACCATTACTCCCTTACCAATACGGAACGTCATGACGTTGAGATATAACGATGCGACCGCGATGACATTGACCATGTCTTCTGGCGTCGCCCCCGGGAGCCAAGCCACCTAAATCTCCAACAAGAACTATGTACTATTGTATATTGCCGATATAGAAATAGCAGGTAGCGAGTGAACGTGCAGCGCCCTATCGATCAAGCAATCGCTACGATCGACAACACTGTGAGGTGTCGATCTACCTACTACGAGACATTAAATAGGCTATCGGGCCGGGGTGTGACCGCGCACCGCCGTCACGCCTGTTTGGGGATGACGGAGAAACAGCACCACGCTGGTGTGCACCATCATGCGCATACGGTGTCGGCAGCGGCAGGGAGTCTTTCCGGGTAGCAGGTGGCGGGCCCAGGGTATCGTTTCGTCCGATCGGAATGGGTGTCCTGCTGCCGTCGCTGCTGCGGTTCNCATGGGTATCGATAGAACATTATGACACCTTCGTCTAACAACAGGTAGCGAGTGAACGTGCAGCGCCCTATCGATCAAGCAATCGCTACGATCGACAACACTGTGAGGTGTCGATCTACCTACTACGAGACATTAAATAGGCTATCGGGCCGGGGTGTGACCGCGCAC